TACACAGGTTTCTGTCCATCGACATCTACTCGTGATAGACTTTCAGGGTAAAACTGCTTTCGTTTGTGCATGCTTTGAAATAATGGCAAATTATCAAATTACACACAGTTTATTCATAAACTTTACGGTTCTAGTTACAGATGTTCAACAGTTGCGAATCAGAACTCACCACAAAGATATATTTTTGATACCGCCAGTTAGAATAGCGTACACATGTCACTTACGCACATTGTTAGCGCACTGTACAGTCACTACTACAGGTCTAAGTTATATGGCATTTAAGCAGGTCACCACGCACAACACAGTGATACGGTTTGGAATTCACACACTGCTGGTGCCACATTTCCGTCAAACCATGGCCTGCTTAAAGGAATCTCAAATGCACAGCGTAAACCCAAATAATTGAATATATAATGTGATGCATACATTAAGACGCATGAGTAATTATCAGATACGTCTGGTTCAGGTTGCAGCATTTGTTTAAGGATTTGACCTCTGGATTGACTATGTGTAGAACTGATCTCAGAGAAAGATTCAATCAAGCGCTGTCATTGAACCTGTTAGCGTGATCGTGTTGAAGGTACAAGCTGCAGGTTCTGAACATCGTTCTTCTCAATGACCCGGTAGTCATAGTATCCGCCACCTTGTTGGCACCTCTGCCTTCACGGATCTGAATTACGCAGATGATAGCTGACTCCTAAACCATTCTCCAAAGCCTTTGACCATTCTGTTTAACCTTTAATGACAATTCAAGTAATTTTGGCCGGAATATGTACTTTCAGGAGAAAGTGAAAAGAATTCAAACAAATGAGTAGAAGCCGCCAATGTCTTACCATTTAGCCAGGCGGTTGGAGATGCGGGGTGAACGCGTTATATGGGGAGCTCACGGAATTTGTGAGATAACTGCAAACTTGAGGTGTTCCGTCGTCTTGAGGTATTGCGGAATCCGTCAATTACGTTATATCGCATGTCTGGCTACAGACAGTGCAAAATACGAATCTACAACCAAACATATACTCCACCGGTATTACTGTACAGGACGTAGGCCTTAACGCAAGAATATAGAGCTAACCAACCCACAAGCCTGTGCACATTTGCATCAATGTAGTCAATATTTTTTGCCGACAACGTCGACACATTCTAACCATCTGAGAAGTTTGCTTGCTACCCGTTTTGTTGTTCTGTCTGAGCTCTTTCATATTGGTTTCAGTTGTATGAGAAATCACTTACTTTGACACGAATGGAGAATCATTCGTCTTTCCCACTTTGATATGTAGGAACCGTTCTTTGATTGACAACATTGTCTGTCACATTTTCCAAGTTATTTGTTGATCTGTATACTCTATCCAGGAAACCATTACTTTCAAATCTCGAAATGTGATATTCATTTTGCCGGAACGTTAAGATCTTCGTTAATTTTATACTTAATACAGACTGACTAATTTAATTAATTAATTTAATTTAACCCTGTCTTACATAAGAGTTGCGCTCCGCAAACCTTTAAATAAGTCAGATTATATTTGCCCCCACCCGTTAATCA